TTCTTTAGGCTTAACTCCTCAGCAATTAGTTGATAAAAATGTTTCTCTTTTCCAACAGTTATGAAAAGGATTAAATATTTCTGAGCATGTTTTTTATCGCACCTCCTCGCCCGAACATAAACAAAAAGTACAAAAAATCTTTACTAAACTTTTAGAGCAAGGAGATATTTATTTAGGAAAATATAAGGGCAGTTATTGTATCACGTGTGAAGATTATATTAGCGAAGGCAAGATAACCAAAGAAAAAACTTGTCCTTTTTTTCATTCTGAACTTCGCGAGATTGAAGAACCAGCCTATTTTCTCCGCGTAAGCAAATATCGTTCTTGATTAGTAGAATATTATTCCCAAAATCCGAACTTTCTTTTACCTTCTAATATTAAAAAAGAATTATTTGAAAATTTTTTAAAAAATGATATTCCTGATTTATGTATAACTCGGCAAGATTTGAAATGAGGTGTTTCGGTTCCCGGCGAGCCAGAAATAGTTATTTATGTTTGATTCGAAGCATTACTTAATTATCTTAATTCCCCAGTTGGAGAATATTTTTTCTTCCCGGAAGCACCTAGTAATAGCAAAGTTAAAGAGTTTGCTTGTGTAGCTGTTGCCAATCAAAAAAATCAGTATCTTTTAGTCTATAATAAAAAAAGAGACAGGTGAGTATTTCCGGGTGGAAAATTGGAGAAGGGAGAAACTCCGGAGGCCGCGTCCAAAAGAGAAATATGGGAAGAAACTAATTTAACAATTACGGATTTAGAAAAAATTGGTGAAGAAACTTTTTATGTTAATAATATTTGATGAAAAGGTTATTTTTATCAAACCCAAAAATATTCTGGCGCAATTGAAATCAAAGACCAAGAAAAGGAAGCAATAGGAGAAATTAAATTTTTGACAATCCCCGAAATACAAAAAATTATTAATCAAAAACCCGATAGGGGTGTGGAATATGTGTTGGAAAAGTTAACTGGCACTAAAAAAGAAAAAAAAACACTTCTTCTTTCTTTTTTATTTTCTTTGCATCTACTAGGGATTATAGTGGCCTTTTTTAGAACTGATATTCCTTTCCATTATCACCTTCTCCGTTTTTTTTTCTTGGTGGTCAGTTCATACTTCAGTTTTCACTGTCTTAGCGGTAATTATGATATTTAGAGAAAGAAAAAAAGAAGTTTCTTCCTATTTTTCACAGTTTATTACTTTTCTAGCCACGATGTATAATTTAATTACTTTTTTCTTTTGAGTTTATTGCTTGTTTTTTCTAAGTGTCGGATGAGAAAAGTCATTTTTACTCAATTGTCAGTCATTTTCTTGACACTTTATTGCTCCGTTTTTGACCATTTTTTATTTTTATTTTTGCGCTCAGATAGACAAGTTAAGAAAAAAAAAAGTAAAGACTCTGTCGTTTTCTTTTATTGGACCAGTGATTTACTTTTTTTACGTCTGAATATTAGCTAAAATTAACGTCGGGGAAACTAGCAGTTTATTTCCTCATTTAGAGAAATATCCTTATTTTATTTTCGAATGAATAACTGAAAGACAGTGGAAGTGATTTATTATCAATTTTTTGTTCTCTTTTTTTATTTTTATTTCTCTTTGTTCTTTAGTAATTTGAACGAAAATAGTTTATGAAAGGAAAGTTAATAATTCAAGGAAAATATAATTTAATTATTCTCCTGGTTTTAAACTAAACCTTTTTCTTTTTAGGGTTTTTTATGATTAAGACCATTGATAATGCCACTACTACCAATATTCCACCCCCAACCACTCAACCAGTTGGGAAATTATTGTTAGTGTTTGAACTTGAAGTTTCTGAATCAAAACTTTTAACAATATTTTTTAGTTGTTCTAATTTCTGTTCTTTATCTTTTAGTTGACTTTCTTTTTTACTGAGGTAGGAATAGTATTCAGGAGTGCTATCGTTTTCCTTTTTTATCTCTTCTATTTCCTTTTTCAATTTCTCGTTTTCTTCCTCTAACTTCTTAACTATTTCTTTTAACTGATTGACTTGTTTAGTTAGTTCTTCGGTCTTGTT